GACAATAATTATTTAATGACAGTAGACATTAAGATTCAAAAAGTTAAAGCTTTTAACCATTCAAACACAAACTGTCAAAATATACAAGGTAAATATACTTAAATCAGACTCAGATTAGTTCTCAAGCAGCAGGCCTTTTTATTTTGCCTATCTGTACATTTTTATTATGATGGATGGAATTTGTTTTGTCAGTTTGTGGGTGTTCAGTGAAATCAACATTTACAAATAAAAATTTAATCCTCCCAAACCTACATATTAACCATGACATTATTTTACCTGGGACTGACAACAGGCTAGCTCATCTATGGTTCTCTGGGTCATCCTTTTAAAACATTGGAACGACATTGGCAGGACTCCAAACCTTTGGAATTTCCCCAGTAAAGATGAAAAAATGAACCAGAGTTTTGGAAGGGCTATAAACCTTCCTGCTTCAGGGCATGAACAAACCTCTAACTAGTTGAGGTCAGGAAGTAATTTCCCCCATGGGCAGGTTATTCCACAATTGTCAGTTGAGGGGATAGGTGTCTTGCACCTTCCTCCAAAGCAGCTGGTGCAGTACACTGTTAAGAGACAGAATCCTGGGATAGATCCCAGGTCTGATCCAGTCTTGTAATTCCAACGTTTCTGTGTTTGTAGTTTTTTGGCATGTCAATGATCCTCATTTAGTTCATCCACATGCTTTCTAATCCACATGAGAAAGCAAAATGCTGGGATCTAGCCCCAACTTTCAGCAAATATTTTTTAAGAATGGATAATTTGGAGAGGTTTCATATTACAAAGATTTCACTACTTTTTTCTTTTTTGTTCAAATCTACCCTACCTTGTACTTACTGCATGAAGGATGATCACAAATAATCAGAACCTAGCTAGAGGTCGCAAAAGAAATGATCAAAGTCCGTTGTCGGTTGCATTTGCCTTGATTTTGTAGTTGTGGGGGTGGTTTTTCCCTTGCTAGATGGCAACATTCAGTCATTCACAACAGGACTCCCAATCAGTAAGGGCAGAGTTTTTAAAAACAGCCTTCTGAGCCCACAAGCAGGGTCAGATTGTCAGGACAGCAAAGTGCTGGGGGCGGGGAGGGAATCTTCCCTGAGGTGTCACAATGAGAGCTGAGCTCTTTTAAAAATCTAACCCTTTCAGCTGGGGCTGAGCACTTGCAAATCTGTCTGCACCACTAACGATGGACTATGTAATGGGACTGCCCCGCCTGTCCTGTTTATTCCTCAGTCCTAAAGGCTCTCAGCAAAAGAGCCATTGCCTAGCTCAACTGACCCAATGAAGTCCATGGGGAGAGGAGGACACATTTGGTATGTCTACACTGCAATCAAACACCCGGGGCTGACCTGAGTCAGCTGACTTGGACTTGCCGGACTTGGGCTACACTGCAATTTTATAGCCTTGAGCCCTTTCACTTTCACTATCCAGTGTCAGCCTCTCATCTGCTTCTGTTTCCACCCCAGTGCCAGCTGCTTCCTCCAGAGACCACACTTCCCCAGGAAACAACGTCTTGCATCTGAGCTGTACCCTTTGAGATACCAAAAAACAAACCGCACCCCCCACACCAAAACCAAGGCCTCTTTCAAGCGCACCGCCTCCCTTACACACAGCGTCTCTCCACTCGAGGGCTTCTAGGCAATCAGTTCAGCTAATGGAGGGATGAAAAGGGCTTTTGTGACGTGCTTTATATTTTCGAAGCCATGGAAAGACATTTCTAATTATCGCATAAAAAGGGGCTCTCAGCCATGCACTCCTCTGTTCACCGGGTAGGTGCAGCGCAGCTGAGTGGCTGCAGATCCCGGCCCCACCATCGCTGTCAGAGCCACCCTGCATTTGTGTCTAAATGCTTCCCTCCCCTGGCAGATTCATTCCATTTATGATCATGGTTTGCTGTCTCTTCTCCCCCATCCCTTCCCGTATGGCTGTCCCTCCTCTGCCCGCCCCCAGTCTCTCTGTTCCTCACTATGCCTCTGTCACACTTACTCCCTTGCATTTTTTAAAACCCTTCATGAGCTCGATCTCACAGATCCTGTGTCTCTCTTTCTATTTCCTTCCCTGCTCCCTCCACTCACCTAGTGGTGACTCGGCATCACTGGGGATGCAAGAGCTTTCTCCTCTGCAGTTTCTGGAAATAGACTTTTGGCTAGTTTCATCTGCTCTCCAAGGGCCAGCTCCTCAGCTGGGATAAATCAACATTGCTCTGATGCCATCACTGGAGCTACACTGATTTACACCAGCTGAGGCTCTGGCCCGGACACTCAAATTTGCTTAACTTAAAGGCCCAGATCCTGGACTGTGACCAAGGAGTACTTGGTGTAGCTCAGGATCCTGGGGATCCTGTGTCAGGCTGGTTCCCAACATGAACCAGCATGAGCGGGGGGCTCGGACCACCAGCCCTGTGCATGCGGGGGTAAGGATCTGTAGGGGGAAGGGGGGATGGGGGGGGGCTTGGGCTGGCCCCAGGTGCCAGTGGGGAGGGGGACCTCAGACTGGACCTACATGGGTGGGAGGCTGGGTGGCCTCGGGTAGCCCCATGTGTGTGGGAGCGGCACGGGGTCTGTTGCAGGTGCCAGGGGAGGGGACCTCAGCCCAGCCTGGTGGGAGGCTTGGGAGGGCCCTGCATGGCGGGGGGTGGGAAAAGGGACTCAGGCCAGCCTAGGGGTGTCCCATTTTCCCTTTGGGAAAATATGGTCACCCTAAGTATCCCCCTAAAACCCTGTCAGCATTACAGCCTCCTGATATCTCCCTCCAACTCGGTCTCTGGTGCTGCAATTATTTCCCCCCCATATATCTCATCTTGCATGCCCCTTCCCTCCCCCCACCCCCCAAAATGAATTTGTGCCTTTTATCCCCGTGTAAATCATAGAATCATAGAATCATAGAATATAAGGGTTGGAAGGGACCCCAGAAGGTCATCTAGTCCAACCCCCTGCTCAAAGCAGGACCAATTCCCAGTTAAATCATCCCAGCCAGGGCTTTGTCAAGCCTGACCTTAAAAACCTCTAAGGAAGGAGATTCTACCACCTCCCTAGGTAACGCATTCCAGTGTTTCACTACCCTCTTAGTGAAAAAGTTTTTCCTAATATCCAATCTAAACCTCCCCCACTGTAACTTGAGACCATTACTCCTCGTTCTGTCATCTGATACCATTGAGAACAATACAGCCTGGCTCTCTGCCCCCCTCTCGTGGCTGGATCACAGAAAGGTTTAATGGCAGGTTTCAGAGGAGCAGCCCTGTTAGTCTGTATTTGCAAAAAGAACAGGAGGACTTATGGCACCTTAGAGACTAACCAATTTATTTGAGCATAAGCTTTCGTGAGCTCACAAAAGCTTATGCTCAAATAAATTTGTTAGTCTCTAAGGTGCCACAAGTACTCCTGTTCTTTTTGCATAAAGGTTTAAGGCTGCTGCAGACTTTGAGCCATGCAAAAATAAAGCATCTAAAAAAAAAAAACAGTTTAACCTTATCTGGGATCACAAACCCGAAAATCATATGGCTAGCGCGCTACAGGGCGGAACTGCTGCTCTTTGGATCCTGTAACCGCATGTCCGGACGTCAGCATGGTTTCATTTTTTTTTTTAAGTGCCGCCTTCATGATGAAGTTCCTGGGGTTTGTACTGGTTGAAAAAAGATTTAATTGGGGATCGGTCCTGCTTTGAGCAGGAGGTTGGACTAGATGACCTCCTGAGCTCCCTTCCAACCCTGATATTCTATGATCTGGGGGTTACAGCGGACCACAAATGTAATGAGAGTCAACAACGTGATGCGGTTGCCAACAAAAGCTCGGCCCGTTCTTGGGGGTGTTTGAACAGGAGGGCTGTGTGTCAGATGCAGGTGGTAGTCGTTCCACTCTACTTGGCTCTGGTGAGGCCTCTGCTGGAGAACTGTGTCCAGTTCCGGGCTCCTCACTTTAACGAAGATGTGGAGACACTGGAGAGAGTCCAGAGGAGAGCAACAACAAATGAGAAAATATTTGGAAGACCTGACCTATGAGGAAAGGTTAAAGAAAGAAGAAGAAGAACTGGGCACGTCTAGCCTTGAGAAAAGAAAACTGAGAAGGGGACCTGCTAACAGTCTCCAAATATGTTACCTGTCCTCTTTAGAACAGCCCTTATCGATTGTTCGCCGTGTCCACTGGAGGTAGGACAAGAAGCAATGGGCTTCACCTGCAGCAAGGGAGATTTAGGTTGGATATTAGGAAAAACTTTCTAACTCTCCGGATAGTTACTGTGACAAAGTTCCTCCTCTGCCTTGGTGGGTCCTGTGCTTATTGGTGGATTTTCTCGCCTCATAGGTTCACGGCAGCCCTCAGTTTGGCCACTTTCGTGCCGTTCACTCAGTTAGCCTCATCACTGGCCAGCGTGGGGAAAGGAAGAAGAACAATCCCCACAGTCTCTGCTGGTCCACCTAGTGGATCGGGGAACAGGCCAGAGACCTTCCCCTCTGGTGGAACCCACAGTCCAGGTCAACTCCTCCGGTATCAAGTAGGGAGTTGGGAGGATTTGGGGGGAACCCGGGCCCGCCCTCTACTCCGGGTTCCGGCCCAGGGCCCTGTGGAATGCAGCTGTCTACAGTGGCTCCTGGAACAGCTGCGTGACAGCTACAACTCCCTGGGCTACTTCCCCATGGCCTCCTCCCAACACCTTCTGTATCCTCACCACAGGACCTTCCTCCTGGTGTCTGATAATGCTTGTACTCCTCAGTCCTCCAGCAGTACACCTTCTCACTCTCAGCTCCTTGTGCCTCTTGCTCCCAACTCCTCGTACGCGCACCACAAACTGAAGTGAGCTCCTTTTTAAAACCCAGGTGCCCTGATTAGCCTGCCTTAATTGATTCTAGCAGCTTCTTGATTGGCTGCAGGTGTTCTAATCAGCCTGTCTGCCTTAATTGTTTCCAGAAAGTTCCTGATTGTTCTGGAACCTTCCCTGTTATCTTACCCAGGGAAAAGGGACCTACTTAACTTGGGGCTAATATATCTGCCTTCTATCACTCTCCTGTAGTTGTGCTTGCTTCGGCAGCACGTATACTAAAATTGGAACGATACAGAGAAGATTAGTATGGTCCCTGCACAAGGATGACATGCAAGATCACTCTCCTGTAGCCATCTGGCCTGACCCTGTCACATAACGCTCTGGAACAGGCTTCCAGGGAAGGTTGTGGAATGCCCGTCATTGGAGGTTTTTAAGAACAGGTTGGACAAACAGCTGTCAGAGGTGGCAGAGGGGTTTACTTGGTCTTGCTTCAGTGCAGGGGGCTGGACTAGATGACCTCTCGAGGTTCCTTCCAGCCCTACATTTCTATATTACACTACAGCCAGAATGTCAGCATTCATCTCCAAGCCAATCTGAATTAATTTAGGGAGCGAGATTTTTATTACAGGCTAAATCGAATGTTTCATTCATCTAACTAAACAGAGAGCAGCTGCGGCTTTTTGCCGCAGCTCTGTGGAGTCATGCAGGGATTGCACAAGGGAACATAGCTCCTACTCACAGGAGAGTTACTGCATTCGTATTATTAGCAATTGTTTGTATTACAGTAGCAATAGAAGGTCCTTATCAAGGTCCAAGGCCCCCTAGCGATAGACACCTTACCAATAAGTATTTATATTTATCATTATTAGGGCCACAGGACTAGGATGCCCAGCCATGGACCAGCACCCCTTCCTGCCTACTGTACTGACGCAGAACAAAAATGCAGCCCCTGCCTCAAAATGCTTACTGTCTAGGGGTGACATCCTAGCCCCATTGAAGGCAATGGGAGTTTTGCCACTGACTTCACTGAGGCAGGGATTTCACTCTAGGGTTCAGGTGAAACAAAGAGGTGTGGGAGGAGGGGATGGGAGGAAGAGTAAATGGAGCACAGAAGAATGGACTTCCAGGCTTTCAAGTGATGGAATTGTGTCTAAAACTATCCATCCAGTTTGGCAAGATTTGCTCTTGCCCCGGCCCCCGGCCCCATGCCCGCTTATTGCTCATGCTTTTAGTACCTGTTATACCCAGTCCCACTCAGCAAAGCATTTAAGCATATGCTGATCTGTGGCCTGCCTGCCAAGAGCTCGCTCCATTATTTCGATGGCAGAGATGATGGTCTGAATGCAGGCTCCAGGAGCGGCACAGTCCTAGATGGTAAGCTCTTGTGGGGCAAGGATAGTCTTTTTGTTCTATGTTTGTACAGCACCTAGCAAAATGGCATCCTAGTCATAAATAATTAATGACTGAATGGTGCAGATGCGGGTGACGATTTGGTGGTGACCATAGGAAGCAGGTTCAGAAGATGCGGGAGCAGGAGGCCAAAGAAATTCAGGGTCCGTGTCAAACACCAAAGTGTGCTGGAATGCAGTAAATTCATAATAGACCATTAATACGCCTCAGATCCTGCATATACCCCGACTGCACCTCGCTTTGCACAGACCGCAGTCCCTCGTCAGGACTCCTCAGCGTCTGCACACAAGAATGAATCATAGAATATCAGGGTTGGAAGGGACCTCAGGAGGTCATCTAGTCCAACCCCCTGGTCAAAGCAGGACCGATCCCCAATTTTTGTCCCAGATCCCGAAATGGCCCCCTCAAGGATTGAACTCCCAACCCTGGGTTTAGCAGGCCAATGCTCAAACCACTGAGCTATCCCTCCCCCCAGCACTCCCTGAAGGAAACCTTGCCCCTTGGCAAGTTTCAGCAGGTTACTGAAATATTAGCATTGGTAGATTTCTGAAGTGCTGCAATTTGTTTGTGTTTCAGGCTGTTCTGCAAATGCCAGGTTCTGGGAGCAGAAAGCAAGAGATGAAGAATAGTTGGCCCAGAAAGAAACAAAAGGCTAATGATGGAGAGAACGGTGAGCGACAAGCAACGGCGAGAGGCAATTCGTTTGTGCGGGGGTTTGGGGTTTTTTTTTTTTAAAGACCCTTCAAGACAAAAAATGGACGTTTGTTATTCTCCAAATACGAATACACTGGAGAGATGGGTTTTTACAAGGCACAAGCCAGAGAGACGCCAGCTGGTAGGAGGGGGTCCACCCTTATCCCCAGCACCCCTCAGAAGTGTATAGAGAAGACTCCTTACCATCTGGGCAAAGTAGGACCCACATGGTGCCTCCTCTCTTCCCCATTTTGTGGCTTTGGGGGAAAACGGAAGAGAGGAGCCAGCCAGAGACTCCAGCTGGAGCGGGGACCTTCTGACATTCAGAGAACACTGTACAGTTTTGATTGGACTTTCTGTGCCCTGTGCGGCTTGGCTGTTTGCACCAAGGACCTCGACGCCAATTAGCAGAGAGCATGGGGTGGTATCTACCTAATAGTTCACCAGAGTGTCATGTGAGGTTGCTCTTGAAAGCCTGGGTCACACTGGTCCTCATGACCACTGCGAGATGGATAATTGTGAAGAATTACGTGTAACTCCTGAAAATCACATTCTTAAGGTCTGTGACTTGGAGTGGTCGCCAAAAGGCAAGAAACAGGTTTCTTTCAGGAAGACGATGTCTGTCTATCTCTTGGTCTGTCCCCATGTAAATTGAGTACTGCATACTTCACACTGAATGCCTATTTACAGTCTGAGCAACATGCTAATCAAGTAATTGCAAAGTCTCCAGGGAAGATCCTAGACAGGGAAACACAAACAGTGGGGTTAGGCAAGTTACCTGGGAAAAAGCGACCATTAAGGCAGGACACGAGAGAGGTCTACAAACTCACGAATGGTGGGGAGAAAATGAATGGGGAAGTGTTATTTGCCCCTTCACATAACACAAGAAGTAGGGGGTCACCCAATGAAATTAATAGGCAGCAGGTTTAAAACACAAGGAAGTACTTCATCGCACAACGCACCGTCAAACTGTGAAATTCATTGCCGGGGGATGTTGTAACGGCCAAACGTATAACTGGGTTCCAAAAAGCATGAGGTACGTTCATGGAGGATAGGTCCATCAATGGCTATTAGCCAAGATGGTCAGGGCCACAACTCCGTGCACCAGGTGTCTCTAAACCTCCAACTGCCAGAAGCATCTGGCAGTGGCCACTGTCAGAGGCAGGATATGGGCCTAGATGGACCATTGGTCTAACCCAGTACAATCGTTCTTATGTTCAAGTGAAGATAATGGATTTTTGAACTACAGTATAACTGTGGAGACAAACACTGGATCGTTCCACTGAGGATTGATGAGGATAGTGTGCTTGTCTCATGAACAGAAGACCACAGCCAAGCCTGGCTGTGACACACACTGGAAGCACTGGGGGTGCACGTTTGCTCTGATGATGGGACAGTGTCTTGTTAGTAGAGGTTAGGCTCTAGTAGGTGTGTTATGATTTTATTTTTATAGTACCCTTTCTCTCCCACCTTCCTGCTTGCGCATTTCAATCTCTGTTCTTAATTAAATAAACTTCTCATCACTGGAAATCTGAATGCTGTCTTCTATGGCATAACGGGGAAGCTGGGGTGGCCTGTTCCTTTGGGACCAAAGGATCTGGGAATTCTGAGAGTACCCAGTGGAGCAGGGGCTGGGCACTCCAGGGAGATGCTTGGAGGGCTCCAGGGTTGGATTGTGCCTATTGCTATCCTGTCCATAGGCAGCGAGGCCTGGAAGGCAGCACTTGTGTTGGGGAACTGCCCCAGAGCAGGCACAGACGTGGCTTCCTCCCGCTAAGGGCCGGTGCCTCACAATCCTGGAAACCCGCGAGAAGCAGCCCAGCCCACCCCGCTCCCGTCTCTTCATTTCTGCTTCAATCCTCGCCTGCAGCTTTTACCCTCTTCTTCCCTACCCTGTCCCCTTTGCCCCCTTCCCACAGAGCTGATCCCCTCCTAACTAAACCCACTGATCCCAAATCTAAACCTAAATCCTGCACCCAAATCTTCATGGAATTAAGATGCAGTTTACTGCCATCACTTTGTTCATCTGTGGGTGCATCCTACCTTTTCCCCCCACCCGGTGTCTGTCTGGTACATTTAGATTGGAAGCTCTCTGGGGCAGGGACCATCTCCTATTCTCGGTTTGTGTAGTGCCTGGCACAATGGGCCCCCGCTCCTGGTTGGTCCTTAGGCACTACCATCATAAACATGATTAATAACAGCCAGATGTGCAGGTACGGGACTACCGCGAGATGCCCCAGTGGTCAGCACAGTGGGCTGAGACTTAGGAGACAAGTTTAATTCCCTGGGTGATCTTGGTCGAATCACGTAGTCCCCGAGATTTTTGAGGCCATCTAGTGCCTTAGAGAGGAAGGACGGTCTAATGGTTAGAGCACTAGTGTGAGATTTGGGAGAGTTGGACTCAAGTCACTGCTCACCACAGATTTAGCATCTCTGGGCCGGCCTCCCTCCCTCTTCTGTTCAGTGCGGAGAACAGCACTGACCTAGCTGACAGGAGTTGAGGGGGCTGTGAAGATCAAGACATTATATACCAGGTGCTCAGACACTATGGTAAGGCGGTGGACCTGCGGTGCGTGGCTCTTGTAGTGAAGGCGCTGGACCAGGACTCCTGAAATCCAAGCTCTACTCCTGCATCTAACACAGACTCCCTGTGTGATCTTGGCCACGTTACTTACAGTCAATCTCTTCCTCCTCTTTAAATATAATCCTTCCCTTGGCTGTTTAGACTGTAGCTCTTTGGGGGCAGGGACTGTCTCTCACTAGGTATGCACAGTGCCTAGCCCAGTGGGGCCCTGATCCAAGTGAAGATGTTTTTTAAATAAAAACAAGAAACAATAATAAAGCTGGGACAGCTGCCAACAGCTCCCCTTTTAAGCGGCTCTGTGCCTCAGCTTACCCTATCTGTAAAAAGGCCAGGATAATGATACCAACCTCCTTTGTAAAGTGCTTTGAGATCTACTGATGCAACACACTATATAAGAACTAGGTATTATTATTAACTGTTGCCTCCCAGGATAGCAAGGCTTTTGACAGACTACTCCAGCAGGTCGACAACAGGTGTGCTTAACGCACAAGACTATCCAGGTGTTTCAGACAGAGATCTTCCATTTTCAGCCTTTCCGAGCTATGCATCACGTCAGAGGCATCAACATTCATTTCAGGATGTCCAAGCCTAAATCTGAAAGGTTAGTCCTGGGAGCTGACAAAATTGTTAGGCATTAATAAGCATGGCAGATTGGAAGAGAGTTTCTCCAG